GTGTGTGTGTGTGTGTGTGTGTGTGTGTGTGTGTGTGTGTGTGTGAGATCTCACATTTCATGAAAACATCAGGAGGAGGAAACTTGCCCACTGTTTCATGTTTTTGTGGAGGTGCCTCCACAGGTCAGTTGGGAGCCTTTAAACTCTTATTGAATGCTAATGACTGACTCAAGTTAATTAAAATATAGGGTTAATCTTTAAAAAGTTTCACCCTGGTTGAATTGAGATCGCCAGTAACTTCTTTCTTCAAAGCTTGGTTGCTTCTTGGGATCAAAAATTAGAAAGTCTGTCTTGGTGCCACCAAATCTCAGATATGCAGGAGACAAACCTCTGGCCAAAGTACGAAGCTTTGGAGAACTGTTATGAAGACAAGAAAGAAATTAAAATGATTTTTTTCCCCCAAGACAATCCAGTCAACCATGTGTACTCTCTTCTGTCTTGGTGGACCTATTTCTTAATATCTTGCTGTTCAGGCCTTGGAGGGAGAAATCATATTGCTGTATCAGGGGAATCATCTCAATCTGAATCTTTCTAATTGCAGGGCTGCTCTTCAAGGAAACTGGAGGCAACTTGGAGCTCTAACTCTGGCAAAAGCTTATATTTTAACTTGCTGTTAGGCTAGTGTTCAGTACTTTCAAAAAACTTATAACCTTTTATGATTAATGGAGGAAAGGAGTGAAGAGAGTAGAAACTACAGGAAAGATGACTCTGTGTTTCTTTGAAAAATAGGTTGTCTTCAAAAATTCATGTTCCCAGAGAAGTACATAAATGACTTAAGATTCCTCCTTCTCTTGCCTAACCACCCCCCTCCCAAGGAAAGCCATCCTTTTAAATTCAGGTCAAACAACAGAATTATAAAAGATTCTAATTCCTATCATTGACACCTCCAATTTGAGCAATTCTAAATGCCATCTCATCAAGCCAAAAATGCTCCAGATAGGTGCCTATATATGCTTACAATGGTACCAAGTGCTATGGAATTAATTAGATGATTTATAATTACTTCCCTCAGAATGATAAATATGTCATGAATATTTAAGAGAACAAAACTAAGAAAACAGAAGACCCAGGTAACAGGGACCCCTGCCATAAATTTCTAGTCTTACACATGTGATCCTGGCCATACTGCTCTCTGGAATGCTCTTAGAACACATAAAATCAATGCTGTGTAGTTCTCAGATTGGCCTGATTTTAGTTTATATCCGGGTTTATTTAAAATCAGAAAATCATTACAGGAAAATTATCTAATTGCCAATACTTCTTAACAACCTAGGAATTAAAGACCTGACCTAAAATTTTAAATTTTAAGATGTACTCCTGCATAGCTATAGTGCTATGTAAAGTTTTTGAAAGATTTATTTATTTATGCTTAGAAAAGAGAAATTAAAAGATGGAAATTGACCAAAAGAAAAGTCCCTGCATTAAAAAACTTCAGCGAGTCCTCCCCACTGTTTTTTTTTTCTTTTTTGAAGATTTTATTGGGAAATGGAGAATTGGGGTAGGGGAACAGTGTTGGGGAATTGGGAAAGGGGAACAGCCAAGTTATTGTCCTTCAATCTTAGTTGTGGAGGGCGCAGCTAGCTCAGCTCCAAGTCCAGTCGCCATCCAGCCACCAGTCGGCAGCTCAGGGCAGCTCAGCTCAAGGTGCAGTGTTCAATCTTAGTTGTGGGTGGGCATAGCCCACCATCCCATGCGGGAGTCCAATCGGCAACCTTGCTGCTAAGAGTACGTGCTTTCACTAGCTCAGCGGCAGCTCAATTCAGACGCAGCTCACTGGCCCATGTGGGAATCAAACCAATGACCCTGTTGCTCAGAGCTTGTACTCTTAGCCAACTGAGCCACTCTCTGGCCCCCCACCATTTTTTATTGTTTGTAACTTGAGAGCTTTTCACTTCTACTACCTAGGCACTTTTTCCTTCATGAGCCTCTTCCTCCATAAAAAATATTTTAAATTATATTTGATGATGCTGTTTATTTAAAGACAAATATGCTAATATTATCTATTAAAACATTTTCTTTGACTTAAAAGTTCATTTTCTTGGATTTTCTTGGATCTTAAGAGAACTTAAAATATTTTTGTGGGTCCCTAAACATATGTGGGTCCTGGAACAAGGAAATGAAGCATAAAGTGAAACTTCAGAAACGTTATCAACCTGGAATCCGCCCTGACTGAAATGCCTGACAGCACCAGAGCTCTAGGAAGGATTGCATCTGCCATGGGATCCACAAAACCACTTGAAAATAAACGGAAATGCTAACTTGAACTAAGTGGTATTCTGAAGAAAGCCAGTTCCACTTTGCCACAAACCCAGATAAAAAATAAACTATAGGAAAGGGGAATAGAGCATTATTATTCAATGGGTACAGAGTTTCCATATGGGAAGATGAAAGTTCTAAGATAGATGGTGGTGATGGTTGCACAATAATGTGATTGCATTTAATGTCAGTGAACTACACATATTAAAGTGGTTAAAATGGCAAATTTTGTTTGGTTTATTTTACCACAATAAAAAGAGCAAACTGTAGACATAGTGTGGTTTCAACAATGAAAATAATATAGATAGAAGGAGATAACAGTGATAATTATGCGCTGAAATGGATGACAGACTCTTTTCTATTGTTTTCTTGTATTTTACAACTTTTCCACAATACGCACATGATATTTTAATTTATTCAGGGTGGCTTAGTGTGTATGTGTTTCTGTTTTTAAAAAGTAAATGGAGAAACCAAGATTTAGGGAAAGGAGACATAGGCATCCATTAATGTATTCAGTAAATGTTCACTGCGGGCCCACTTGGTGCCGGGCATTATGCTTGTTGCTGGGGATACAACAGCAAACAAGACAGAAATAGCTGCTGTTCTCATGTAATTTAGAGTCTAGTGATATAGACGAACAAATAAACAAGCAATTCCAAAACAGTGCTATGGGAACATACAAAGGGGGTCCTAACCCAATCTTTGGGCTGGGAGTAAGGGGTGCTTAGCGGTTTTCCAGGGGAGGTGGCTTCACTGTTAGACCTTTGAAAGGAATACATCCTATCCAGATCAAAAATCGTGAGGTGGGATTGAAGGAAGTGTTCCAGGTGTGGGGGAAAGTCTGTGCAAAGACCAGAGACAGATGAGCATATGGCACCACTGAAGAGCCAACCGGTATGGCCAGAGCCTAGAGACTGGGAGCAGGGAGTTGCTGGGAGAAGATAACTAGAGAGGCAAGCAGGACTGTATCACAAAAGGCCTGTAAGCCGTCATGTCTAGGAGCTGCACCTTTATATGAGGGCAGTGGGGAGCCATGGAAGGATCTAAAGCAATGCAGTGACCTCACCAGACTTTTATTTTAGAAAAGAATCTCAGGCTGCAGTGTAAATAACTGAATAGAAGGACCAAGACTTTGGTCATGTGAATGTAGACAGCAAGTAATGGGCTGAGGTAAGGTAACAGCAGCCGGCATGGAGAGGGGTGGATAAATTCAAGATAAATGTGGAAGTAGAAATACTAGATTTGGAGTTTAATTGGATGTTGGAGAAGAGTCAAGGATTACCCCTGGGAAGCATCTTGGAAGAAGGTAATATAATTTACTACAGAATGGAATTGTGATGAAGAATTGGTGATAGCTTGGAGAGGGGGATGAAGGGGCAGGGGAGGGGACACAGTTTTGTAGAATTCTAGATGCCAATGGAACGGATACCCTTTCAGCAAGCTGAAACATATTTCTATCAGGCCCTTGGCCATGCGTGTCTGGAGCTGAGGGGACACACAGGCAGGGTATAGATAAGATAGAGAGTCCTCAGTTTAAGGGTCAGGGACTAGTAACCCCAGCCCACAGGTGTTGAGATATCGTCCTAAAACAGATACAAGGAACTTCCTCAGAGCCACTCTAGGATGCTCCTGTCCCACCGTCTTTGCCAAGACACTGATTCTGGTCCTTGACATTTTGGTTGTGTTTGATGATAGAGGAAGCTCATTGAGGTCAGTGTAGCTGATGTTTGTAAGCTGGTGAGAGGCTGGTGCTCTCTGGCAAATGGAAGGAAAACAAGCACCAGGGAGAAGGAGCGGTGGCATCACAAGTTCTATAATACATGTGTGCCTGGCCGGGATCACATGCCCTAGTACCGGGTAGTGACTGTGCCACCTCAGGTCACTCTCCATCACATGGTTCTGCCCTTATTTCCTTCGTAGCATGTACCACTCTCTGAAATTAGCTTCCCTGTTTGTTTCTTTGGTTTACTATGTATCCCAGCCCTCATCCCTGAATATAAGCTCTGTGAATATAAGCTCTAAGACCTGTCTGGCTCATCAGAATTTCCATAGCACCTAGAGAAGCATCTAGATAACTGCCTGGCACACAGCTGATGCTTAATAAATATTGTTAAGTGAATGAACAATCAAGTCCAGCCTGCCAAAAGGGCAAATGGGGCCAGACAAAGACTGTTTTCTGAACAAAATTAAAACCCAATACTATGGCTCCTGCCAAGTAAAGGAAATCACATGCTTCAGAGTATTGGTATTACAGACCTTTTTGTTTGTCTCCTTTGCAATGGAACATTTCCTTGCTTTGAGGACAAATATCAATGCCCTCTGACAAAAACCAGATTTAAAACAGCTGCAACACATGTCATGAAGAACAAAACTGATCAAAGGTACAGTGTTCCTACCATAAAAGAGAGCAAAAAATTCAACCACCGCCATAGTGACATGGAAATAACAAAAGGACACATTAAAGCAGCAGCTCAGATATTCCATTTCCAGAGCAGATTGTTAGGGGAAAGAAAAGTCTGCAGGTATTTTTATTTTACCTTATGTGTAAACATAAGATCCTTATGTCTGTCACAAAAGTGAATGTGTCCGGGAGCTGGCTTGTACTGGATTCTACTAGCTTGTGCGAGCCAATAGTTTAACAATGAGAACCGGTTGTTAAACTGTTGGCAAATGGAGAGTAGCCATGGTGGGAGTATTTATACCACAGAATACAGAAAAACACTTTCGTCAGTCTCCCCTCCTCCTAGGGAGCCAGTTGTTAAACCTTTCCCGGCACACTGCTGCACCAATAGTAATTCCAGCCATGGAAGTGTGTGAGACCACTCGGGAGATTATGTGAAGTGAAAAGAAGGCCTAGGTCAGAAGTCTAAGGCACATCAATATTTAAGAGAAGTTAAAGAAAGAGTTGGAGAAGCACTGTTAGAGAAGTGATGGAAAACCCTAGAAATGGAAGTGACATGGACCCAAGGGGATGAGAAAGTGTTTTCAAATGTCAACATTGCCAAATGTGTCCAAGGGACTGTATTAATTTGTCAGGGTTGCAGTAGCAAAGTCCCATAAACTGTGTGGTTTAAACAAGGCAAATTGATTATCTTACAGTT